GTTGCGAAATTTTGCGAGGAAAATTTCACGAATGCAACGAAATGGCGGCTCGTTGAGACATCTATTATGTATATGCTCTGCTTTTCGACGCTTCAACACCATATTTTGCATCTCTTATTTTGGGGATTATACAGAGTTTCTAAAAAATGACATATTTTGCTATTTTAAGGGATTCAATTTTCAGGCTCTTTTTAGAGGATGTTTATTATTATTGAATAATGTAATTGAATTTTGTTGGGTAATTTAGTGAAATTTATGCCTAGTTTAATTTAATTTAATTATAATATGTGGGTTCGTTTAATTTGGTTAAAATATGAACTTGTGGTTATTTTAATTAAAGTATGTATGCACGTTTGATTTAATTAAAATATCTATGTACGTTACATTAATTAAAATACGTATATTCATTTGATTTAATTAAAATATGTACATGTATACGTTTGATTTAATTAAAATATACCTATACGTTTGATTTAATTCAAGTAACTTAATTCAAATGTGTAAGTACGCCTAACTTCATTTATATAAACTTAATGTAATTGAATGAAATATACATATATGTATTCTAAAAATGATACTAAATCAGATTGATTACATAATACAACAAAAAATAAATATTTTGCAATATTCATCATTTGTAGTCGTAGACAAAAATTGTCTTCAATAACGTTACAAAAGTAAATACTTATCATTTTTCCAAAAGTCAAAAATCGCCAAAAAATTGTTATTTCTACTAAATTTTACGTGCTTTTATTTAAAATTCTCCTCAGACTGTGAAACTCCCCTAGAATTTTATTCCTAAATTAAATTTGTGAAAACCAAAAGAAATGTCGAACAAAATAACTGCAAATAATTTCAATAATATCAATAATTTCAATAACATCAATAATATCAATAATATCAATAATCTCAATAAAATCAATAATATCAATAGTTTCAATCATATCAATAATATCAATAATCTCAATAAAATCAATAATATCAATAGTTTCAATCATATCAATAATATCAATAGTTTCAATCATATCAATAATATCAATAGTTTCAATCATATCAATAATATCAATAGTTTCAATCATATCAATAATATCAATAGTTTCAATCATATCAATAATATCAATAGTATAAATAGTATCAATAACATCAATAATATCAATAACATCAATAATATCAATAATATCAATAATATCAACAATATCAATAACATCAATAAAATCAATAACAAATTTGTGTAACGAATAATACAACTTCACTATGTCTTTTTCCGAAAATTCAATAATGCATTAGATTCGTGACACACGATCAGCAATGGTTCCCCTATCAGTCAACACGTTAATCAATCGCATGTTCTAGACATCGTTTTTGACTTTCAATATTTGCACGTGACGTTGTTTCCCGGTTCTGCGTTTCATACGAATTTCCGATCGGCTGTAATTTGTAACGACGATGCTTGACGGACAATCGATTAATGTTTGCACAGGTTTTCCATCGTTATTACGTCCGTTGCAACGTGTAACCGTTATAAGCGCGAACATATTTTCCGCTTTCTCTCGTCGGCTTTGCATCAGAATCGTTTCGATAAAAGCCACATTAACTGACCGTTCGTACCGGTGTATCGAAACCGTGGCACAATAATTGTTTTAATATCAACTGTCGGATAATCCTTGCTCGAAGCGTCTGAAACGTCGAATCGAAATTAATTTTTGCGAATTATTGTTTGCCAGGAAAATAATTTACGCTCTGTCGCGGGGAAGAATGAATCGGTGTCGTTTCGTTTTATATGCGATTCTCTTTTTGCGGCGATTGATTTTATGATTTGGATATTTCTAGTGGAATATTAATTATAGTCAATTGTGGTTTCTGTTATCGGATTGGAAATGTTTGGAGAATTGGACATTTGAAGATTTTGGGTTTTGGGAGGTTGGATACTTAGAAAATTGGAAATTTAGAAAATTTGGGATATTTGGGAAATTTGAGTAATTTGAGAAATTTAGAGAATTTGGAAATTTAAGGATTTGGGAATTTAAGGATTTGGGAATTTGGGAATTTGGGAATTTGGGAATTTGGGAATTTGGGAATTTGGGAATTTGGGAATTTGGGAATTTGGGAATTTGGGAATTTGGGAATTTGGGAATTTGGGAATTTGGGAATTTGGGAATTTGGGAATTTGGGAATTTGGGAATTTGGGAATTTGGGAATTTGGGAATTTGGGAATTTGGGAATTTGGGAATTTGGGAATTTGGGAATTTGGGAATTTGGGAATTTGGGAATTTGGGAATTTGGGAATTTGGGAATTTGGGAATTTGGGAATTTGGGAATTTGGGAATTTGGGAATTTGGGAATTTGGGAATTTGGGAATTTGGGAATTTGGGAATTTGGGAATTTGGGAATTTGGGAATTTGGGAATTTGGGAATTTGGGAATTTGGGAATTTGGGAATTTGGGAATTTGGGAATTTGGGAATTTGGGAATTTGGGAATTTGGGAATTTGGGAATTTGGGAATTTGGGAATTTGGGAATTTGGGAATTTGGGAATTTGGGAATTTGGGAATTTGGAGATTTGAGAATTTGGAAATTTAAGGATTTAGGAATTTGGGAATTTGGGAATTTGAGAATTTGGAAATTTAAGGATTTGGGAATTTGGGAATTTAGGAATTTGTCGTTTTGAGAATTTGATTATTTGAGTATTTGGGGATTTGAGAAATTAGGAATTTGGGATTTTGGTGATCTGAGAATTTGCAGACTTTAGAATTTGGGTGTGAGTATTAAGAATGTAAAAATCCCAAAATTTACAAAATTCAATAATTTAAGAGTATTGTAAATCTACCAACTCCAAAATAAAAGAACGTGTGAAATTGATTATTGCAATATAAAGTTAGCAATATAAAAGTACGAAAGTGCATTTGGCGAGCGACATTGCACAGCAACTGGTGCACACGTGCAATCGACGCGATAGGAGCGTGTTCTTGGGGAAACTCGTGGAGAACAATGACCAAAGGAAACTTCGTATTTCTTCCTGTTATCGGCTGCACCGTCTGTTGCAGCGGTTGCACCAACCCGATACCCGAAATTGCCATCTTAACTTACGCTTGCAGTTGGCCAAGCCTGGTTGAATTAATGGAGTCAGACGCTAACTATAACTCGTAACTGTTTATGGGAGCAACATTGCTGAAGTTTTATTGCGACTCTTACTTCACTCATTTTCAAGTATTAAATTAGATGTATCAAATAAATTAAATTATCGAATTGAGACGAATTCAAAACAGATATTACATGATATTTTTATTAACATATTCCTCGATTTACAGAAGAAGAAATGCGAACTTAGCTTCTGACTTTGATAGTGTAACCATTATTTGATTCCGAAGAGATTAATGAATGTAAACACGCGACTAGAATGTAAGAAAAATACACTTTGTTTAATTACATGTTCAAAATGTATGCCGCCTTCCATCACGTAATATTCCGGTCTTTCACTTCACATTTCCACTTCTGCAAATCGAGTAATATGTTAATAAAAATATCATGTAACCCGTGTTTTGAATTCGTCTCGATGTCCTCTAAAGCTATGAATAAAAAAAAATGTATGTTCCTATTTAAAAAAATCTAAGGTGACCTTGACTTTGCCAAGATAACAAACTGTTTTCAAAATTTGCTTTACTAATATCTATTGTGCACTTCATACCTTGCAAATATTGTTAGCTATGAATAAAAAAAAATGTATGTTCCTATTTAAAAAACCCAAGGTGACCTTGACTTTGCCGAGAGAACAAACTGTTTTCAAAATTTGATTTACTGATATCTATTGTGCACTTCATACCCTGCAAATATTGTTCTAAACTTTTTTCGTAAGGTGTCTACAAGTGGAAGAAAATCCGTGGGTAGTTACAGGTAACACTCTGTATAGTGAAAAGTTGCTGCACCTTGACAACATACTTCAAGGTCATTGAAGTCGGTGAAATTGAATTATTACTTTGGAAGTACTTTTATGTACATAAAAATAAGTTATTGGGAATGTTATCCTTGACATCATATTATAAGGTTATTATTACATTTCTTTATATACTTCTGTATGTCATCTGCAATAAATGCAAGTATAGAATTCAGATATCACTGATGATGATTGCAGAAAAATCGGGCAGATATTGAATCAATATATCTACTTGTCATAAAATAAATTTGCCTATTACTATGTTCTCATTAGTCACTATTGTTCACCTCATTTTACTGAAAATGTTTAAAATGCTTAACTTTGATCATAACTTTACTAAATACTTCTTACAACTTTCTGTACTTAACTTTAATTACAACTTTCTCCACTTTACTTACAACTTTCTTTAACACGTTAAACCAGCCTGCTTATTCTTGACAAGTTACAACATTCTATAAAACCTGTACAAGATGGCCATTTTTGTGTATACTGTTTCAACCTGTTTGCTACCGCCATCAAATGAGGATTTATGAACATACATTCTTCTTTATCACTTACAATAGGATATTAAATAAAATGTGTATAATGTATATTTACATTCAAGTCTCCAAAATAATTTTTTGTTTCAATGTTGAGTGAAAAGAGTATTTGATATAAGTTTACAATTATATTATAGTTCTACCATGCAGTACAATTATCTTCTGCTGTCTAAAATTTGTTAGGTAGTGTATTAATAGTCTTCCTTAAAATTTTGTTGGTAATAAGTCATATGTAGATACATGATCTCCAAAGTATTTAAAATTTATTAACAGAAGAACATAATTGTGTTCTTATTTTTAATAAATCTTACCAAATATTTTCACAATACCTTGTTATAATTATTTTCGATAAATCCATGTAATTAATGTAAATATTTTCAATTAGCAAAATGAACAAATGTTTAATAATACACATATTCAGCATAGGAACTTAAATGTCACCCATATATGGGCGACGTGGCAGTCGACGTATCAATGTTAATTATAAACTAACGTAAAATGTAAAATTCTGTTAATTGCGATAATTTCCAGAAGTCGAGGAGCGTTCCGGCGGGAAGGCGCGCGGCGGGAAACTAGCGCGTCGTGCGCGCTCCTTCAAGGAGGACTTCCTGGAGAAGCTCTCCCACATGCGTTCTCCTGGTAGCGGCAGCGGCGGCGGAGGCAGCGGGGCAGCTACACGGGCTGCTTCGCCCTCCTCGCCACGAACACCACGGGACAAAAGCGCACCCGGTTGCACCGACGCAACCACCCTCGACAAGAATCCCCTCCGTGACCTGCACATCCACGTGCGACAGGTGCAGCTGGCACTGCTCCACTTCAGGGACGTTGTGTCGAAGAAGAAGCTCGAGATGTTGCCCGGTAACGGCACCATCGTACTCGACACCGTCACCACCATACACACTGTGCTCAAGTCCTATCTGCTATACGAGAACAGGTACATTTTACGTTAGTTTCACTCATTATTAACACTAGATTGCCTAAGGCAGTCATTTTGACTGCTTTTCAATTTCAATTAGAAAAACAATTGTGTATAGAATGGCACAGCTTCTTAGAATTTTGTGACTTTTTGTACAACATATAAATGCGTTTATTAATAATTGTAGTTACCTCCCCCCTCTTTCATTTCCGGTATATATATGTATATGTGTTATACCTATATTGCCCCAAAGCAGTCAAAATGAATCAAAGTTTTAGTCTTTCTAGTGTTAACGGTATAGGGTCTTTACGATGACCTTGATCGTGTATGATTATATACTTCATTAGACACTGATTTTAGTTATTACTAACGGTATTCTTTGGGATATTCTGTTACCGTATTCTTTCGCTGTTTTGATCTCGTAGATAGTATAGTCCACCAGTTATTTACTTCAGATGTTATTTTTATAGTATTACCGTGTTATAAATATGCAGTGTAGTGTCACAGACATGGTTTAGATAAACAAACTTATGATATAGTATGTAAACATGTAATGATAGGACAATACGTGTCATACATGTACATGTGAAGGTCAAGGTCAAGGTTAAGGTCATTGAAGACAGGTTTGAGAAACAGCGTATTTACCTTGTTAACTTTTATTATCATATTTACATCAAAATTTTGTTTAATACATTAATGATATATTTAATCACATATTACATCTTATTAGAATCTATGACTCCTTCAATTTTATATCTTATTTTATAACTAACTAGTAAATTTATTAGTAACGTAACTAAAGTTACAGCTAAATGTTTCTAAACATTAATATAGTGTACAGTTACAAATATAAATAGTAATAAGTAAATATTAATAGTAATAAGCATCTGATTCATTTCAATGTATATTACAATAATACTTGACAGTTTTTACAAAAATAAATTTGCAAAGAAGTAATCTTTGTAATATGATTTTTGATTGAAGCTCCACACTGGGGTCAGCGACGAATCAAGTATATCAGGCCCTGGCACAATTGTTGAAACTCTGCGACGACGTGTTGTTGCACGGTGACCAATCCTCTGCTTTGGACACCGAGAACGTGACCCACATCATAGGACTAGTCGAGGAAGCTGTGAAGAATCTGGTTGCCCTGGCGAACGAAAAGATCACCAATAGACAGAAACCTGCTGCTGTCACAACCAATAATAGGTATCATAATTCACAACTGAAGTTATGTATGGAACTGACGGGGCCGCCGGGTGTATATCCTTACTTGTACTAATTTTAATAAATTACCCTACCAAAATGTATAGTTCTAAAATTCTAATGTTCGAAGAATCCGAAGTTCCAAGGTACTAAGCTTCTCAATTTTATAGTTCTGAAATTCCAATGTTCCAAATTCTATAGTTTTGAAATTCTAAGGTCCCAAATTCCAAAATCTCAAATTCCAGTATCCCAAAATTCCAAGCTCGCAAATTCCAATATCTCAAAATTTCAAGGTGCCAAATTCCAAACTTCCAAATTCCAAGGTCCCAAATTCCAAAATCCCAAATTCCAGTATCCCAAAATTTCAAAGTTCCGAATTCCAAAGTCCCAAATTCCAAGCTCTCAGATTCCAAAATCCCAAATTCCAATATCCCAAAATTCCAAGGTCCCAAATTTCAAGCTCTCAAATTCCAAAGTCCCAAATTCTAATATCCCAAAATTCCAAGCTTCCAAATTCCAAGGTCCCAAATTCCAGTATCCCAAAATTTCAAGGTTCCAAATTCCAAAGTCCCAAATTCCAAGCTCTCAGATTCCAAAATCCCAAATTCCAATATCCCAAAATTCCAAGGTCCCAAATTTCAAGCTCTCAGATTCCAAGCTCTTAGATTCCAAAATCCCAAATTCCAATATCCCAAAATTCCAAGATCCCAAATTTCAAGCTCTCAAATTCCAAAGTCCCAAATTCCAAAATCCCAAAATTCCAAGGTCCCAAATTCCAAAGTTGCAAGATTCCAAGCTCCCAAATTCTAATACACCAAAATTTCCTATCCTCCAAGATCCTAACGCTCCAAACTCTAAAGTTCCAACTTCCTAAGGTCCTAAACCCCAAAGTTCCAATATCTCTCCCTCGTCTCTCCCTCTTATTCTTCCTCAGCCAAGAGTCTAACGTTATACCCTAGTACACAGAGTATCAAAAGTTCTGAAATGATATCATAAAAATAAACTACACACCATCATAAAACCGTCACGCCTATGATTAATCACCTTCAAACGCTAAACAACCCGCACACGGCAGCCCTATTATGAAATATGAATATTTTTTTGTGCCGTCATAGCAATCGCAAAAAGGCTGACGATCAATGAATGAAACAGCGAAAATGTCACGTTTCAGAACGTCGGGCTACGGATCGGAATTGACGCCACAAAGAAATTCTTTACCCGATATCCCGTTAACCCCGAGGGAAAGGCAGATTTTAGAGCAGACCGCCGCGACTACTAGTCTGGTCCGTAGTTCGCATAGTTCAGAGTCGATCTTAAGGGATTCTAGTCCACCCCCAAAACCACCACTCCCTGAGAGGTAGTTTATCCTTTATATATACATATTATCAAACATCGGCGTGCCATGTGCATCGTTCGATAATGCGTTATCAAAAGATGTTCACGTTAACGACGTGTATTGCAGAAGCAACGTGTGTCTGTCGGAGGAGAATAGCTCGTCCGGTACACCACCACCTTTACCACCAAAACGAAGAACGAGGGCTCAACAGCTGCTGGACGAGTCCGAGGGTCTTTTAGCATCTAGTCTTGACGGTGTTTCTCTTCGTAGTCGATCACCAGAGGATTCGTCGTCACTTTTAAGCGCGTCGGCTGGCAGTTTGGATTCGGCCCTTAATCATTCGCGCGACGAGGATGAGATACGGGCGATCATGGGACCAAACGACGAGTCTCTGAACGACAGTATGGATCTCAGCCTGATGGCTACTATTCAGGGTAATTTTGGATAGTTCAAGAGTCACTTCATTGACACTGGATCATACTCGTCACTCCACAATTCTTTGTGACAATAAATAGGACTTTAAGTGCCAAAGACAACTTTGTATTCACCAAAGTGTTATTGCTAAAATCAAAATTTGTTGCTCATAAAAACTATGAATTGTAATAACATTTCTACCTAGATTTCCTGACATTGACTTTTATATGAATAAATTGATTTGTGAATGTTTTGAGAAGCGGCACTTACAAGTCTCTTTTATTTCCACTCTTCAAATTTATGGTTCAGGTATGACAGAATGGTGATATAGAGTTAGATTAAACGTTAAAATGTTATTTATATGCATGTGTAAAGCCTAGCCGCACCTACGCACAGTTATTTTTAAGAGTTATTTATTTGCCTACAAAAACAGGAGAATGGAGAACTAATTCATAAAGGTACAAATTGAATATTAAGTTTTAAATATATATTAGTTAACGTAGTAGGTTTATAAATTTAAGCATTTGAACAATTTTTTAAATTGCAAAAAATACAGTGGTTTCTAGTATTGTTATAGATTTCATATTTTATTCATGGAATCAAGATTTGATCATTCATAAATTTAATACTATTAATGAAATAGAGTTTGACATTTGACAGCAAGATAAAAGAAGTAGCTATAAATAAAAGTTGAAGTCATTAAACATGTTTTGATGATTTAATACAATTCGTGACAGTGAAACAGATATGTTCCCAAGAAGGCGATGAAAGAACTCTATAAGTACATTTCCATGTGTGTCAACCAGAGCACCATAAAGCTTAGTCAGCAAAATAGTTCTCAACTGTGTTCGTCTTAATCATTACATCAGTCTTGCTGCAAAAGCCTTAGGACACAGATCATACTTTAAAACACTTCAAAATTTTATAATCATTTATATAAAAAATTAAAACAATGTGGTGTAAGAAATACTAAATAATTCATCACCTAACAATGTTCAACACTGTTGTAAAAAAGTTCAGTAAGTAATACGTTTTGTGTTTGCAGGCATGCAGGTTAATGGTAGTTCAAACTGTAGTTGCTGGGACGGTTCAGAAACCAATATACCGAGCACAATGTTGTTGGGTCAACAAACTCCGCAAGAAATGCTTAATCCATTCACCGGTAGGTAACAGAAAAATGTCTTTTGTATTCGTGGCCAAACACTCGGACAAAGAGTAAAGGCACCGGTGACGTTGCACATTTATCAACGCACAGAAAAATGTAGGAGCTAAAATTACGCAAGAATTTCTGAAATATGCTAGTGGAGCAGGTAGCGTAGGCGTCGGAACGTTCAGGCTACGTGAATAAACAGTATCGTATAGATCTTCACTGAAGTCGGTGCATTTATCAGAAATTCTTTCTCTAAATTTTATTCCTGTAAAAAATCATGTCGAACAACTGGAACTGGGGAATAGTAAAAAACTTTTTGCGTAAGATCTTTTGTCAAATTATTTTTTAAATTTTTCTCTGAATAACATGACACTCTTTTTCAGGTATAGAAGGAAAGATGGAACGGTTATCGACCCAGACACAGGAATCTGGTTTTGTATCGATGCATTCACAACGAAGCTCGTCTCAAAGTTACACTGCTTCCAGCGTAACATCCAAAAGATCGTCTCAGCAGAGCAGCATTAGTTATAATTCCCAAACTTTCAATTCGCAACAATCGTTTTCGCAGACGAAACTGTCATCGGACAGCAACGGGTCTATTTTCACCCAGAAGACGATGACCAGCTCCAAGAGTACTATCAGCACGACAAATATATCTGGAAGTGGAGATTCATCCATGTTGGAAAAACTGGTAAATGTGGGTGTTGCATGGTTTGATTTTATTTCATTTCTTGTCCCATATTTTTAGATCTACTTTAAATTATTTTTTATTTGCTTGCAATTATTTCCCAAAGTTGAAAAAATTAATATTTCATCTTTTAGTTTATTACCCAATGATTTAAGCATGTACACAAATTTTTGTTAAACTTACTGAAAATGAAATTTGATGTATACGTATTTACTGCATGTGTTTATGAGACATTTATGTATTTGTTATACCACAGTTTCAACTCTGTACAGGAAATAGAATCAGTTTCTGCATCCGATGCGAACGGTGTGCCACCAGCATTGCCAGAAAAACGATCAAAACGTAGAAAAGAACGTCAGCCATCGCAGTACGACAATGTACCTGAAAACGAGCATTTATCAACCTGTAGTTTACATACCAGCAATGGTGACAGTCCAGATGCCAGTAAACCCCCACCGCTCCCTCTCAAGAAACGACATAGTAAGTTGATCCCTGATTTACAATGGAAACAGCAATAAAGCGGTTACTCTTCACTGCTTTATTACTGTCGAATAATAATGGTAAATTATTAATGCAATTGGTTAAAATTGAAGGAAATATTCTAAAAATTATTTAGATTTTGTTTAGAATAGATATTCGAAAATGTTAAGAACGATAGTAGGTTAAAACTGATGCAATATTTTGTATCCCCCAGTGTTCCAATCAGTGGCATATTCTGGTAAGTGGGATCCTGCCCACACAAATTCAGCTATCCCTCAGCAAACACGTTCACGCTAAGTTGAAATCCTTCGTTTCACGCCTTATTAATATATACACGATTTCAAGCTCTTAGCTTTTTGCGGCATGTTCGTCGTTCTTTTAAATCTCATTTTATCGAGATCATTTTGACACACAGTATACACGATTTCATTTCACATTAAGCTTGGATATTTTAATTCATATCTTTAGCATCTTTTCACAGCTTACATATATAATCATCTATAAAATCATCTAATTTTTTTATCACACATAAACACTATTAAATGGTTGAATTACTTTCATTTAAAACACTCTAAATGAACTTTATAATTTAACACAGATTATTGTGTATGATAAGATATTATGTTAACATCATGGGATCTAGATTTCATTAACTATAGAAACTAATCTTGGAACCACTCGCGTGGGCGTCGACATTGTTTCACTAATTAACTTGACCTTTTCTTGCTAATAGTCAGTTAACACTTATGCTTCTTTAACTCTGGGACAGAGTCAGAGGCTTTAGTTTTCATTTTCACGATTATGCGTGAAGAATCAACGGGAATCGTTCGCGCTTTATCGTGATATTTCTAATACGGGGTTTGATCTTGAAAAGGTGTAATCTACTTATACATCTTGAAAGATGTTGTTCAAAAGATTTCATTCTTACAGCAGTAAGTTTTCATACTCACTGAATCTCTTCTGATCATGTATCAAGTTACATGCTTGTGCATCAGTGTTTTTTATATATTTTACACTCCTGTGCTTTAATAATTTCTTGTAACATGAATTTATGCTTGTACATATCATATGTATTATATACCCATGAAGTCATACTCTTTTATTTATTTTTTATATTATTTTACAATAAGTACTTAAACGTTTAATCTATTGTTAGAATTATGAAAATCTGTGACTGTATCTATTTCAGTTATGGCGTACATGGAGATGTTTGGGAACTGTTCCCACAGTAACAATGACTTTATCTCTGGTCTTGGGACACGTCATTCAGTAGCAGCTTATAATTCAATGCAAGCAGAATGGCAACAACACGAGATGGCCCTTACCACAACACAATCATGCTCTTTCATGGCGCACACTATGACCACATTACACGATAGTTCAAAGTACGTAACTTGTGACATAAATGTACACGTTTCCTGTAATTTTATGTATATGTCATTCGGAAAAAATGAAAACATCTTCTCTTTCAGTACCTCCATAACAATGACACCATCGGTAACAGAAGTAGCAGATAATTCTAGTCTCCCTCCAGCATTGCCACCAAAGAGATCGCGTTCCATTAAATCAAATATTACACCACCGCCAATTTCACCGAAACCCACCATTAGCATGCAAAGCATACATTCGATGGACCCAATTGTAACGTCCACTCCAGTGAAAATAGAAGAATCAACTTGTGTTCACGATAAAAAAGAAATCACACCTTCAACTCCAGTGAAATTGGTAAATATTTCACATATTTATATTAACATGTTCACTATCAGAATGAGCACATGTGAAAATAATATCAAATATTTTACAAGAATAATAATGTATTAATATTATGGAGAATTATTAATCTAATGCTTTTAGAATAATGCTGCTTTGGACACGATATTGCCTCCTTCAAGGCCGGCAAGCAATGCGCTATCGTCGTTATCTGTTGACGACAACACTCTTGAGTTAAGAGATGTCGATCAGGATGATAGCATTTTGGATGAACTGGATATTAGCAAATATTTAGTATTCAAGAAACCTGATGAGGAAGGACCAGACATACGAGGAGGACATCCGGATGCATTATTAATTCATGCTACCAAAGCGAATAAACACGGTAAACATTTTTATTCAATTCTTTAAATAAAAACTACATATACCAGTGAATATAATTCGTTTTACATTCTTTCATGCTTCGTAGATGAAAAAGAATCAGGTCAGTGTATACTAATTAATGAACGTGTCATTTATGTATACTGTAAAAGCAAGACATGTATGTGTCTTACATAGGAACCCTCCTGTATCCCTAAATCTTTACATTTCCTTATATCCGTATGTCCCTGTCTCTAATTTAACTGACTTGGATCTATCAATTTTATTTATAGATTTCCTGTATCAAGAAGCATTCTTAACAACGTATAGAACCTTCATGCAGCCATTGGAATTAATTCAGAAGTTACATAGGCGTCACCAACGGTTCTCCTGTTCCGCGGACGTCGTTAAACAAAGAGCAGCTCGCGAAGCGTTTTCCTTATTAGTTAGAGTAGTTAGTGATTTAACGTAAGTCGATAAAATCTTGAGCCAATGATATTTATAATCGACTCAAATAATTAATTGTTGTTAATATCCTTTAGCATGTCGGATCTCGATGATATTCTCTTACAAACGTTAATGGAATTCGTGCAGCAACTAGTGTGCAGCGGAGATCTCACTATGGCGAAAGCTTTAAGAGTTAAAATTTTAGAGAAACACGCAGCGAAGCAGTTACAAGCGACGCAACCAATTCTGTCTTCGCTCAGTGTGACAACGAAGCAAGCTTCCCTGCTCGATTTCAAGAGCGAACAAATAGCAGAGCAAATGACACTGTTAGATGCAGATCTGTTTATGAAGATTGAGATACCGGAAGTGTTGATCTGGGCCCAAGAACAGAACGAAGAACGTAGTCCGAACTTGACTAGGTTCACGGAACACTTCAACAAAATGTCGTATTGGGCCAGATCAAGGATACTTGAGCATAGATTAGAAAATGAAGCGAAAGACAGGGAAAAATATGTGGTTAAATTTATTAAGATAATGAAACACCTTAGAAAAATAAATAATTTTAATAGCTACTTAGCCTTGCTTTCTGCATTGGATAGCGCGCCAATTAGAAGGCTCGAATGGCAGAAACATATAACAGAAGGCTTGAAAGAATATTGTGCTCTTATCGATAGTTCTAGCAGTTTTAGAGCTTACAGGCAAGCTCTGGCAGAAACACAACCGCCATGTATTCCGTACATGTAAGAATATGAAATTATTTTAAAATTAAGTGAAACTTTTGCCAACAATGTATAAATAAACATTTTTTATGCTTCCAGCGGACTTGTTTTACAAGATCTTACATTCGTGCACATTGGAAACAGTGATTTATTACCAGATGGCACTATAAACTTTTCGAAAAGGTGGCAACAATTTAATATCGTTGAAAACATGAAGAGGTTCAAAAAAGGGTACGATTTAATATTAATCTCGCTCTTCGATCAAGTGCATCCTGATTTCTACCTAACACAATCTAACTCATTTTAATACTATCCTGTGTTTACAATGAATTCTTTGTATGTTACAGGACATATTCGTTTAAAAAACACGAACGTATAATAACGTTCTTTAATAACTTCAGCGATTTCCTCTGTGAGGAGGCAATGTGGCAGATTTCAGAAAGCATCAAACCACGGGGTGGGAAAAAAGCGCAGTCTCAAAACTAGAATATGTCTAACCCTTTCACTGCCTGCGTCTCGAAATCGAAAGGCTGAACCAGTGAATTAGAACGTTTATATTTATGGTATTTAGGTAGAAGTTTAATTGCAAATCAAAGAAATATCATACAACACTCTGAGGGCGGTGAAAGGGTTAGCAAAGACTATCCCATTTCAACAGCCTCTGTGAGGTTGTATTTTAATTTACGAAAATTTTAATATTTCCTCTGTATCGAAGAGAAGGAACGGAAAAAATCGCAAACAGACATTTAAATCAAATTGAAATTTGATGTATATCTGTTTCGTTTAAATATTGAACGCGTGTATAAATATCGATTGAATCGAAACGTTAGGAAAACTTTAATAATTCGGTTAGATTAATCGTGTCTCAATGTATTTTTGTAGGTTCTTTTTTTTGTCCTTTTCGCCATAGGTTATTAAGGGAAAAAAATCGTGTTTGTTATGGACCTACGCAACGTATACATAAAAGATGCAGCTGTAATGATGCTTCACATAGCATGAAGGGAGAGAAACCCCTTAACACATTAACTATTCTATATGTATATCTATATAAAAAAAGAAGTATTTATTTATTTGCCTTATATCAACATGTAAAAAGTAGTAGGTGTCATTCTTTTTTCCTTTTTCTTTATTTTTTAACTTATTTAGGTATATGTAAACGTCCATCATATAGCTTTATCGTAGGTAGAGAAACTTTTCAAACGTCAACAGAGTAAAGTCTGTTGGCTTCGCAAGGAAAAACACCAATAACGTTGATTAATGTAGAGCCATCGTAGTTCACCAGATCAGCGTGCTCAAAATGGACGCGCTTTTCCGAACACGTGGCACACGACTGAGCGTAACTGTTACATATACTATTGTATATGATTCTAGAGAACACTTTTTGTTGGAAACTTGTTAATCGGTATCCAAGCTTTCAGCTTTAAGTCGAATGGTTACCTAGACAATGTAGGTAAATTAAGTGTAAAACCCACGATCCTAGCGAAACAATTGAATCGAAATTTTGTCACTTCTGATCATCCAGCCTGATATCTTTTACTATCGAAGTTTATGTATGTTCTTTTTATAATTTTCAATGATAAAGGTGATAGAGACTTTCTCTTTCACTACACATTCCGTATTTGGAGGGAGGAAAAGAATCCGATCAAATTCATTTTATCCGGATGAAAAATGAAAACAATCGTACTATTGATTCTTACTCTTCGTTGAATACGTCGGAATTTAATAGAGTGCATCGAGTTTTAATTTCTTAAGATAAATTATATATCGCTATAGTGATACGGCTGTCTGTGTGCCTCATATTATTAGAGTGAATGAATATCTCGCCTATTATTAACGTTCTCTGGTCTCACGTTTAATTATAAATGTCTTGTATACAACATTTGTCGGCGTTACTATGATAATCGGATTTAAAAGATGTTGAAAACTGTCTTAACACGTTAACTGCTATGGTCATTAGCGCTAATATTAAAGGCAAAGAATAATACAACTAAATGTAATACAAAATAACAAATCAAAACTATACATTGAAAAATTAATTTTTAATATTTATTGAGAATTGTTAGTACCAGGCTTGCCTATTTTTACTATGGCAGTTAATGTGTGAGTAGATTGCGGGTATATTGGCAAGCGATGAAGTATTTGTAAATGATTAATTTCTCCATTTTTTGAGGAATGATTTTCTGATGGCAATTTTGTGACAGAGTAACAATATATTTCAATGTACATATTAATCGCTTATCAATGTATTCGCAATCGTGATGATCGTATATATTTATTCATCTTCAAAAGGCCTAAGCAGTTGATAATTGATGTTGGTCTATAATTTTATAAGCATACCGTTACTTTTAGAAGAAGAAAAGACAAAACCATTATAAATAGTTTGAAAGCGTAGTTTGCCATTATTGCATAGATCCGATAAAACGGTTGTCAATTTCTGAACATGCACCAAATATATACATACGTAAACGTAGCTTTCAATATGAATCACAAAAGTAATTAAGCGTTGAAACAGTTTCATAGATGCACTCCGTTAATCGCAGCCGTAAATAATTCAGAAGAAAAGAAAGAAAAGAATCAGTCTTAGGTACGAATTTTTAACGAAGCCATTATTGTTACGCCAATAATTCAGGAGAAAGTATAGGACGATACAATTCCTTTCGGCACAAAATTTCATTGTATATGAACGTGTGGTTGTATGCATGAGAAAATATTTCTGTTCAATAATTGATACGTGTAAGATTCGTCTAATCTAAGGTTAAGAATTTTATTATTAACCTTGTACATAGTTTGATTGCATTCAGAATTTCTTGTATGTACGCGAGTGCTGACTATTATTCACAATTGTATATATGCAGTGTATTATCTTTATCATTAACTTTGCGCACGAGGTAATTAATCTCATACGTGTTTAAGTTTATCGAAATCATTGTGATGCCATGTTACATTCTTACGTAGTCGCGGATGCTTGATTCTTTATATTTTGTTTTCATTTAATCGAGGAAACTAAATGAACCATGTGTCCTATCAGGTATCTTAAAATTGTGCAAAAATTATGAACAGATACAACTTCCTTGTAACAAAAGATATAACAATCTATTTTCATTTAATACATATTAAATTATTATTTAATAATTTAGTTATTTGCCCATTTTTAAATATAAACATTTCTAAACTCTCAGATTCTAAAATATTAAAAACTTGAATATAAATTTTGTCATCTCTGTTTTAATCTTGTAAGAAAATTACATATATGCATGTTCAGTGACATAGTTTTAATTATTGCATTTTTATAAAAAAAAATGCTTCTGTCACAAGGATTTGACTGTTCACGGGTGTTGTGCAATTTTGGAACGGCTGATATTTTTTACAAATTTTGTTTTTCATTTCCTGTATTTTTCTTTAATACAATCATTATCAGTTTCCTCCTCAAATCATTTGATTTTGTATCTCATCTGCATCCTATCCAAATCCCAAAACATGTGTACATATACTTAAAAACCGTCGCTGCTTGTCGAACTTCTGTTGATAGTTCCTTTTTAAAATGGCTCACTTGAAAATGTATTTTAAATGTGATGCAGTTATAATGATTGCTGTTGCATCTATTTTCTATTACATTTTTTCTCGATTCACTGTTAACAGTATTCTCTTGTAAATTCCATATAAGCGGTATAAGCATACAGTTTAAGATAATGCTAATGCTAACAAAACTATGAGTGAGATAAAAACAGTGAATATGCAACGAACTTAGACTCTGTCAGTCTATTAGTTAAAATAAAACGCTAGACTATTTTGCGGTAGATAAACACACTGAAGAAAGTGAATTGATTTGTTGATTAAGTTGATAATAAGATATCTTCCAAACCTTTCCTATTTTAAAATACAAAAATGTGTACAACTATGTCAAAGAAATTCTTCCAAATCTTCATCGTCTCTTGATTGTGAATTTGTATTTTTTCACTGATTACTATTATTAAAATCTTATTATCAATGATATTATCTTCAATTTATAAATTGCTCTCTGCAACTGCATTCTTTCACCTCTGATTAGCCAAACATAGAATTTAGGATAAACAAAAATGTGTTTTTATCTATCTTTTGCTGAATATAAAGAACAGTCTATGAATGAAAATAGACTCTAAAGCAATCGCTGTAAAACTTACAATGCAAAGATTCCGGCATTGCAAAAACGATCATAAAACACTTTAATCATATATTGATACTTTCATGGCGAGGGATATTTGCAGATTTAATGATAGATTGTACATATATGACAAATTAAACGATCGAACGATACATCGATCCCTTATTGTACATTTTAGGGAGGAATCATAAGTTCTAAGGCTCGAATTTGAAACTGCAACAATCGTTTGCACGGTACGGATACAAATGGAGAAAACGGAATTCATTTATAGTGATGCAAGATCATGCGTCAAATAACTCTCGCCGAAATTGAATTTAACGATGTTTTAAAAGTGTGTCGTTCTTAACAAGGAAACAATAAGTAATTATCCCTAGAAAATATCGATAAACACGAAGCAAGTAATAATTACCATTAATGTGTTACTGATCTCTAATCGACAAAAGATATATGTGTAATTTAACATTAAATAGATACCAATGGTAAGTATTAGAATGTACAGTGGGCAGCATTCTTGACTTCCTGCGGACGAAATGGCAATGTAGAGGATTCGCTGTCATAGAGACAAGTCGCCAAGCGTTATATCTCGTGTAAACTAAATACGCGTGATAAATCTCGAGTAGTGAGTCATAAGATCTTCCCCTATATTGTCATTTTCCCTAAGGAAATCTACCGTACCCACTAACGTGCGGTCACGTGCAACTTAAGCTTTCTTCAGATAAAAGGAAGTGAATTTCTTTTACATTCAATCAAAAGGAGCTTCGGTTGCACCTGAGTGTACCAATAACAGATAATCATGGTGATTATCGAGGCTTTGGTCGATAACGTTTCCTCCAGAGCTTTAAGTCACCAAAGGGACATATCTACAAAAGATGGTATTGCTGTTTCGAAGACAGTAAGCCGAACAATTGACAGACAGTGTAACAAAAGTTGATTTGAAATAATATCGATTTACATTCGATTGTTTTTAACGATGATGTAATTTGTTTGTTTGTTCGGCAGCATATCGGTAATCAAGCGGTTTTTATCTGGACAAATGAAGTTTTAAAGATAGCGTAATTGCACACCAAAGTACTAATGCACATAGAGGTTAATATTCAATGGCATGATAGAGGTACATTTAACAAACATTATAGTCGTGTGTGTAACACTTGAGGGAGGATTTTCGAACTTATTTTCTGAATCATTTTTTAAAGTTTATTAAGCGGGAGTACGAGAATTAAATGAAAATGTAATTAAAGATAAAATATCATTTAAATAATTACATGCAGTGAATATACGTTGATTTTTATTCTGAATGAAAGTGTATCAAACATAAAAGTGTAAGGTAACATAAAATCAAATTCGAAAACATCGAACAAAATTTTGCTCTTGGAAGATGAGTAACAATCAAATATTCCATTTTGTAAATATTATTCACAATTTACGAAAATACAACCGGTTTTCAGGTTTATATTTTCTTAAATATAATTGTACATTAACCCACGTTTTATTGCTGCTTTACACAACCAACAAATTGCATAATTGTCACGAATAATAATTTTTTAAATTCTCCACGAGAATGATCCTTGTAATAAACATTCATTGCGTTATAGATCGAAAATTATTGGAATTATTCGTGAAATAATTCTAGTAATAATTTATCCTTTGACAAAACTTTTGGACCAAAATAACCCAGAAAATGGACCCATTGTTTTCTTCGGAATATATCGTTCTTAAAATTTTAGTTTAATTTGACTTTTCAGACGCTCATTCTAACGCAATGAAAATAATACAATGAATTATTTGACCTGTTTTAGCTCACGTTAAAATGTAAATCGAAATTTATTCTAATTCTCACCCAGAGGTAATACAAAGCAAAGGGATATCCAAAGGCATTTATATTATATGTGTCTCATTTATAGGACTCTTTACATGTGTAGAACATTATACCACAAAATGAAACAAGTATACGCGTAACTGCGAGATGTGTGAACAAAACACAATGTCACTGAGCATATCATTTGTAAGCAAACATTTACTAATAATCATTGTATCCGAAAGTCCCTTTCAATTACTCACCGTGATGATGAAAAATGAAATTCTGACAGCTGTTATTGAAAAAAGAATAACATTACAATACGTGCTCACGCGTTTGATTATGCGATTTCTTACGTAGCCAGTTATATTTTTCTATGGATATTTTTTCTTACTGTGCTGCTGAGGGTGCCGTTTTAAAAGCACGTGTTTACGTAGTGCGATCCAGTCGCGATTAATATATGTACCTATGATCATTACTTACAGATTACAAGTCGAAATATATTTTTCTTCCGTTCTTTGTCAGTAAGTATCGAGTATGTTGAACATTTGTATGCGTACAAGGTTTTCGACCGACTGTTATTGCTTCTTTTGTAATAGGTGTACGAAGAAGTGAAATAAAAATGTGTTAGAGCCAACTACATTTCTCTGATGTATTAATTATTCTCACGAAATTATATGTCACAAACAAATTGTTGCAAAAGAATATTATTTTGCCATTTTTGTTCTTTTGCATTTTTCTTTTTGGTATCTTCTTTTATTGTTTCATTAAAAATCTAATTAACAGTATACTAACAGATGACTTTGATGATCACCATAGAGTATAGGAATTATTAAAAATGATACCCATGTAAATACATCAAGAAAAAAGGAAACAATCTTTTAAAAAAACCGCCACGAATGCTATTAGCAGCACCATCTAACAACAAACTGCTGAACTATGATAAACACGTGTAAAGTACCGACTGTATTATGTCGGTAATTAATTGATTACACGTTAAAGGTAATGTACCATCAGCGAAGTTTCCATTGTAGTTCCGCGTATCGCAGCTAGATGGCGCTGCGTCGAACCTGCATAAGGGGACGTTCAGATTAGGCAAGTACCCGCCAAAATAGCCTAATATGAACGGCATTTAATACAGCGAAAGAAAGCAATCGTTCGATTTATGTATTCATCACTTTTTCTTCCATAACTTGCAATTTTCTTCAACTTTTTAGAAACAAATTAATTGCTACTTTATCTTCATTCTCTCAACAGATTTTTATTAGCTTTCTACAACATACTATACTACAACGCATACTAATATGTACATATTATTATCATAATACCATCCTAGAATTAAGTGTTAAGAATGTACCTATCTATTAATAAATTATACAAAGTCATATGATGTACAAAATAGAGTGACAATAAAAACGATAAAAAACGTGTATTTGCATATTTATTTACTTATAAATTCTACCAATCCAATCCACAAATTCCGCAATTCAGAACCTGAATCCGAAAAATCAACCTGCCACCTCCTCACACATCATATTCTCCTGATACCAAATTCCAAAATCCAGACCCTGAATCCGAAATTCCAATGTGCCACCTCCTTTCACATCGTATTCTCCTGATACCAAATTCCAAAATCCGGACCCTGGTCCCGAAATATTATCGTGCCACCTCCTCGCATATCATATTCTCCTGATACCAAATTCCAAAATCCGGTCCCTAAATTCCAAAAATTATCGTGCCACCTCCTCGCATATCATATTCTCCTGATACCAAATTCCAAAATCCGGTCCCTAAATTCCAAAAATTATCGTGCCACCTCCTCGCATATCATATTCTCCTGATACCAAATTCCAAAATCCGGTCCCTAAATTCCAAAAATTATCGTGCCACCTCCTCGCATATCATATTCTCCTGATACCAAATTCCAAAATCCGGTCCCTAAATTCCAAAAATTATCGTGCCACCTCCTCGCATATCATATTCTCCTGATACCAAATTCCAAAATCCGGTCCCTAAATTCCAAAAATTATCGTGCCACCTCCTCGCATATCATATTCTCCTGATACCAAATTCCAAAATCCGGTCCCTAAATTCCAAAAATTATCGTGCCACCTCCTCGCATATCATATTCTCCTGATACCAAATTCCAAAATCCGGTCCCTAAATTCCAAAAATTATCGTGCCACCTCCTCGCATATCATATTCTCCTGATACCAAATTCCAAAATCCGGTCCCTAAATTCCAAAAATTATCGTGCCACCTCCTCGCATATCATATTCTCCTGATACCAAATTCCAAAATCCGGTCCCTAAATTCCAAAAATTATCGTGCCACCTCCTCGCATATCATATTCTCCTGATACCAAATTCCAAAATCCGGTCCCTAAATTCCAAAAATTATCGTGCCACCTCCTCGCATATCATATTCTCCTGATACCAAATTCCAAAATCCGGTCCCTAAATTCCAAAAATTATCGTGCCACCTCCTCGCATATCATATTCTCCTGATACCAAATTCCAAAATCCGGTCCCTAAATTCCAAAAATTATCGTGCCACCTCCTCGCATATCATATTCTCCTGATACCAAATTCCAAAATCCGGTCCCTAAATTCCAAAAATTATCGTGCCACCTCCTCGCATATCATATTCTCCTGATACCAAATTCCAAAATCCGGTCCCTAAATTCCAAAAATTATCGTGCCACCTCCTCGCATATCATATTCTCCTGATACCAAATTCCAAAATCCGGTCCCTAAATTCCAAAAATTATCGTGCCACCTCCTCGCATATCATATTCTCCTGATACCAAATTCCAAAATCCGGTCCCTAAATTCCAAAAATTATCGTGCCACCTCCTCGCATATCATATTCTCCTGATACCAAATTCCAAAATCCGGTCCCTAAATTCCAAAAATTATCGTGCCACCTCCTCGCATATCATATTCTCCTGATACCAAATTCCAAAATCCGGTCCCTAAATTCCAAAAATTATCGTGCCACCTCCTCGCATATCATATTCTCCTGATACCAAATTCCAAAATCCGGTCCCTAAATTCCAAAAATTATCGTGCCACCTCCTCGCATATCATATTCTCCTGATACCAAATTCCAAAATCCGGTCCCTAAATTCCAAAAATTATCGTGCCACCTCCTCGCATATCATATTCTCCTGATACCAAATTCCAAAATCCGGTCCCTAAATTCCAAAAATTATCGTGCCACCTCCTCGCATATCATATTCTCCTGATACCAAATTCCAAAATCCGGTCCCTAAATTCCAAAAATTATCGTGCCACCTCCTCGCATATCATATTCTCCTGATACCAAATTCCAAAATCCAGACCCTGAATCCGAAATTCCATCGTGCCACCTCCTCAC